CCCTTCCACTCTCTCTAAAAAGCAATGGAAAAACTCTCCTTGGGTGAGGATTAACAAAATAAATAAAAAATAATAAAATGTTAAGTGTTCTACCATTGTGAGAAGTTGAAGTTGTTTTTATTATGAGTGTCCATGGGTTGGGTAGGGAAGAGTATATCAGGGTTTCCAACAAGAAAATGAGTGTCCTTATATCTGCCAATTTGACTCTTAATTATTAGAGCATTAGGCCTTTACTTGTAGGGAGTTGCCTTTTTGTTTTTTTACTCTTTTATTTTAGAGAGAGACAGAGAAATGATTTGTTGTTCCACTTATTTATGCATTCATTGGTTGCTTCTTATACTGGTCCTGACCAGAGATCAAACTGCAGCCTTGGCATATCGGGGCGTCGCTCTAACCAGCTGAGCTACCTGGCCAGGGTGGGAGTTGGCTATTTGTTCAGACTAGAATTTGCATACTGTATTTGCTTTACAATTACTCTTTACTCTGGGTGTTTTGGACTACCTAATATAGAAACATTTTTTTAGCAATTTATATTGCATCCCTGGAGATTTTCTCTGCTATCTCAAGACTGTTCATTAGATTGTGATACTACATATATGAAAGCACTTTCCTATTATGCAAATTAACCTAGTCTTTCCATCAGACCTTTTCCATAATTTCCCTGACCATGTGGTTTGGGCTTTTTTTCTCTTCAAATTATAAAAGAGAGTTTATTTTAAAAGTTACAGAGGTAGTAGAAGTGAGCCAGCTGGGCTGTGTAGGCTCAGGAAACAAGTTACAGAAGCCAAAGAAGGGCCCTTGGAGCTTAGATAAGGGAAAGGTAACACTCCTGGGGCAAAGAAGAGGGGGGTGGGAAAGGCTTGGGTGCAGGTGTGCTGAGAGAGAGCTTGCAGTTGTGGGCTTTTTCTAAAAGACAATCACAACTTCAAGTTTTCTATTCTATTATCCTCACAACTTTCAGGGGCTGAGTGACATCATTCAGACTTTCAACTAGAAGCAGCACAAAATGCAGTGTCAGATTTTGTGCCCCACTTTTTGGTTCAGAATAGTATCACCTAACCATGACCTTTCAACCATTGTAGTCAGAGGATATCTCTTTGTCTTAATATAGAAGTGTTTCCTGGTATATTTTATTTAATCTGTTTGTCTTGAATTTTTTTTTTTCTTTTAACAGATATGGAGGCTAATCACCAATTTCTTATTTTTTGGACCAGTTGGATTCAACTTTTTATTTAACATGATATTTCTGTATCCTTTATTAAGTGGGGTTAGCATAAAAACTTTAGGTTTACTTAGGAAATACAATATTAAGTTGAAACTTTTAATCCCGTTATTTTTGTTACTATCTTAGCCGTAACTTCTAGGTACTGGCTCAGTGATACACAGAATAATTGGTCAGATAGTAATATTTTGAGGGTGTTTGTAGGTCACTGTTGGTTCAAAGGGGAGGTATTTAACCATAGAATGATTACATTTCTACCCATAAGTCCCTTGCAAATCTGATCAAGGAAGATGAGTGATTTAATTGCATACTTACATAATAATATCAGCAGATAGCAGGTGGTAAAACAAAACCTGAATACAGTGCTAATTAACAGCTTTGATACAGGTTTGGGAGTGGGTTCCTGAGGAATGGAAACTTGAGATCTCCTTGTATCTTAGTTGCTGGTTCTACTGGCTGAAAAGAGAGTGCCATAATATCTGCTGGGCTTACCATGTTCCAGTTTGTTGAGAGAACAGGTTGTACTCTTGTTATATGGTATCTGGGGATACTGAGCAGAGCTTCCCCCTCCACCCTGACCCTCTGGAAAGAGGGCAGTTAAAGCTCACTTCATCTGCAGTAGACAGAGCGCCCATGTAGGGGTGACAGGATTCCTGCCTGGGGGTGAAAGCCTGTGTCTCCCATATGGTATATTATTCTGGTAAGTTTCTAGTAATTAAATTTTTTCATCATCATGCAGCTTCATTGACTGAGGTATAGGGTGCTTACTCTACCTGGCCTGAAGAAGGTGATTATCACACAAGCCTTCTTGATGGGGGAATTCGTCCAAGGTAGGTTGTGAAAAAGGAGGAGTGATGCAGATTATGGTGTGGCTAAACATGGAAAAGAGGAGGCAGAATTGAAAAGGGTTAGTAGGTGACCGGAAGCATCTTTATCCAGCATCTGTTTAGTTCCCCAATTAGGGACAGTTTTTGTAAAATATGGAGTTGCCTAAAATGTAAAGAGGAGTGACCATACTACCACTTGTAAACGTTCTTACAGAAAAAAAGCTTGATTTATAAGTGATGTGGAGTCCAAGTGTACTTAAGTGATACGTTAAATTTTACTTGCTTCATGTTTGTGTGCTTAACATTTTCTTAACCTGGAACTTAAGATACCGTTACTGTCGAATGCTAGAAGAAGGCTCTTTCCGAGGTCGGACAGCAGACTTTGTATTTATGTTCCTTTTTGGTGGATTCTTAATGACTGTATCCTTCAACAAATAGAACAAATGCAGGAAAATGTTAACACCTTCTCTTTTCCTAAAGTTTTTCATTTGTCTCCCACAATTCACTGGATACTCTGAACACACAAGCAGACCTCCAGATTTTAGCTTCAGGGCACTACTGTTTATTTTACAGCATACTTTGTGACAGTTGTCTAAGCCTGGAGGTTAGACAGGGTGCTTTTCTATGGTGAGCAAGTCAGAGGAACTTGTAACCCAGATGGGTTACTGTTACATATCTTAGATAATATTATTGTTCATGGATGTACTTTACTTTTAAATTAAGTTAGTAAGGAGCTTATTTGGTTACTACCAAAACTGATAAATTATTGTTTGAAAAAAAGAATTGTCAACTGTATAACAGACTTGAATGTAGTCCTGTTTGACTGACAAGATGGTTTTGCTCCAGCTGGCCTTATTTACCTCTATAAAGGTGCTAATGGTGAGTGAACTTTTCATTCAGTTATTGACCAAATAATTAACACATTTTCCATAAAGGCAAGAACTTCATGAAAGCAGAATAACACTTTGAAATCCAGATGATTTTGCCTAAGCAGGTTTTTGCTTGATTGCTCTGGGAAATTATTTTCAAACTTTTTTCTTCTAAAGGTGTAAGTTAACTAATGCTCAGCTTTCCTAATTCAGACTTTCGTTAGAACACAACCCTTAGTTCTCTTGCCCAGTCTTCCCTATTGCACTTCTAATGTTGATATTTTCCTTAATGCCATCTGCTAGATTTTTGGTTTGTTTGTGAGCTTAGTTTTCTTGGGCCAGGCCTTTACAATAATGCTTGTCTACGTGTGGAGCCGAAGGAACCCCTATGTCCGCATGAACTTCTTCGGCCTTCTCAATTTCCAGGCCCCCTTTCTACCGTGGGTGCTCATGGGCTTTTCCTTGTTGCTGGGGAACTCAATCATTGTGGACCTCTTAGGTAAGAGTCTTACCACTACTATTTCTATTATTTTACTTATAAGCTTACTTTGTCACTGTTTTTCTTGTTTATTCTGTTTGGCCTTCACATAATAGCTATTATGGGATTATTTGATAGTTATATGCTCAAAGACTACAATGTTAGTTTTATAATTCTTACTAATTATATTGCTATTTCTTCCTAAATATAAGGAACTTATATTGGTAGATTCACCTGCAACCAAAATTTTAATCCTCTCCCTCCTGTATTTCTGTTTGACTTTAGGTATTGCAGTCGGACACATTTATTTTTTCTTGGAAGATATATTTCCCAATCAACCTGGTGGAATAAGAATTCTGAAAACACCAGCTATTTTGTGAGTATTTAACACCAGGTTACATGTTCTTTTGCAGATAAACTGGGATGGGGCCCATGATCAATGTTCAAGTCAGTAAATATTTGCAGATTGAGCAGTCTGGCTGCTGTTGAGGAGCATTTGTATGGGAGGAGCAGACAGTGCCAGACATGGCGGGAGCAAAGCTCACAGGCTCAGGATGTCCCAAGGCCAGTTTGTTAACTGCTGTCCAGGATGACCACTAGCACCTCCTGTTTCAGAGAAGAGCCTGATGGTTTTATGAAAGCTGCTGAGTTTAGAGAGGTGAGGTAGCAGAATGGGCAAAACTGACAAGAGGAAAGTTGATGGTTTTTTCCTTTTGTTTTGTTTTTTTGTGGGGATTTTTAAATTGATTCTAGACAAAGAGAGACATCAATTTTTGTTGTTCCACTTATTGGTGCATTCATTGGTTGATTCTTGTATGTGCCCTGACCAGGGATCCAATCCACAACCTTGGCCTATGGAGATGATGTTCTAACCAACTGAGCTACCCGGCCAGGGCAGGAGGGAAGTTTTTAATGGTGAAATGTCTGGCCTTCCAAACTGGTGGTAGAGATAAGCATTAGAGTGGAAATAGCTTTGGGTTGGAAACCAGGTGGAGGTTGTTCCACCGACCAGCCATGTAATTTTAAGCAAGTCCTCTTTTTTTCGTACTTCATTTCTCCTGGGGATAGAGCTTTCATAGGACCCCTTTCTACCCCAGAATTTTGTGTCCTTGGCATATACTGCATTAAAAAGGGTTCACTTGAGGAATAAAATGTGAGTTTTTAATAAAATGTTGGTTGTAGTATAGTTAAGCAAAACAAAGAAAGTAAAATCTTCCATAGTCCCACCACTTAGATATAACATTAACTTTTTGTTGTGTATTCTTCAATCTTTTATTGTCTGTGTACCTTTTAAAAATGCTTTTCATTTTCATAGCCTTCTTTTTAAGTAATATGGCATAATTGTTTTTCCATTGTAAATGTCCTACAAATGTGTGACAGCTACATGATACACATGGTATGAATATCACATAATTTTACTAATCCCTTATTGATGGACATTGACATTAGCTCTTGCTTTTCCCTATTATAATTCGAGTGGTGAATACCCCTGTAGCTAAATCTTTGCATATATCCATGATTATTGTCAAAGGTTAAATTCCTAGAAGTGGAATTGCTATTTTGTTTATTGCTAAATCGCCATCCAGAATGGATGTTCAGGTTTACATTTCTACCAGGAGCCTGTGTGTCCATTCCCCACATCCTCGTCAAACACGAGAGGTATTGTATTTACTCTTTCCTAGTTTGATGGCCGTAAGATGGTATACAAAAGACTTTTTTTTTTTTCTGTAGATATTTGAAAGTAAATTGTTAATCTAATGCCCCATGTCCTCCTTTAATTGATTTTCTATAAACAAGGACATTCTTCTATAGTTGAAATCAGGAAGTGAAAGTTAATCCTCAAACCCAATTCCACATTTAGAAGTTGTCCTCAATGTTCTTTATAGCAAAAGATTCCAGTTCAGCTTCTGGGGTTGCATGTACTTATGTCTCATTAGTCTCCTTCAGTTTGGAACAGCTCCTCAGTCTTAGTTCTCTTGCCCAGTCTTCCCTATTGCACTTTTAATGCTGGATACAGACCACTGCCTGCAGGCTCCTAACCCCCGGAGCACCATGTTTGTAGGAGTACGGTGGGGGTTCTCAGCACAACTCCCATTAAAAGGTTTTAAACAGGTTGAGCATGATAATGGATTTATGGTAGGCCCTTCTCTGTGGGCCTCTCATAGTGTACCCATGCCAGAGTAAATTTCAGCCTCAAACCATTGCCCAGCCTCCTTACCTGTGGGCTGTGAGCACTGAAGGGGGTTGTACAGTATGGTGGGGAAGGGAGGGAAAGGTTTTAAACAGGTTGTGATAAAGATCACGGAGGGCATTTGGGGTGTGATTATTGGGTAAGAGGATGGGAGAGGTATGTTGTGTTAATATTAAGAATGTCCAAACCTGTAGAGAATTTTTGTAAGAGTTTGAGCCAAACCAATGATGTGTTGGGAAGCAAGATCTCAAATGCTCCTGTTTTTATTGTTTTATTTAATTTGTAGGAATTAAAGGAACTCATTGAAATATAGATGCTTTTCCTGACCCCAATATAAAATAGAAGTTTTCAGATACATTTCTAATTTTATCAGCTGTGGGCAAGTACAATTAGAAATATGAACCGGCCCGTCCGTCATGGCTCAACGGTTGAACATCAACCTATGATCTAGGAGATCAGGGTTTGATTCCCAGTCAGGACACATGCCCAGGTTTCGGGCTCAATCCCCAGTGGGGGGCATGCAGGAGGCAGCCAATTAATGACTCATCATTGACGTTTCTCTCTCTCTCCCTCTCCCTTCCTCTCTCCGAAATCAAAGACGTTAAAAAAAAAAATGAATGTAAATAGAGGATGCTGCTTTAATGCTTAATTCTTTAGGGAGAATTTGAATGAACCACATAATAGTATTTTTAAAGTTTTTGGACATTTACTATCCCTCCTTATGTCCTGAATAATTTTTCTTGGAATAACTTATTAATTTATTTAAAATTTTAATTGTGGTTAAATACACATAACATAGAACTTATCATCTTATACATGTGAAGGGTACAGTTCAGTGGCATTGAGTACATTCACATTGTGCTTCTGTCACCACTGTTCATCCACAGAACCGAAACTGTACCTGTTAAACAATAGCTCCCCGTTCCCTTCTCCTCCTAGCCTTTCACAGCCACCATTCTACTTCCTGTCTCTATGAGTTTGACTACTCTAGGTTCGTCATGTAAGTGGAATCATACAGTATTTGTCCTTTTGTGACCAGCTTATTTCACTTAGCATACCGCTTTCAGGGTTCGTCCGTGTTGTAGCGTGTGTCAGAATTTCCTTTCTCTTTAAGACTGAATAACGTTCCATTGCATGTATGTACCATTTTGTTTATCCATCTGTCAGTGGTTGTGGGGAGACATCCATGATAAATTTAGTGAAAATCAGGTTACAGAACAGAAGTAGTGTGATCTAACTTTTGTAAAAGTGCGTATATAAAAGTTCTGGAAGAATAATGAAAAATCAGTGATTATCTCTGGGAATTTTGGATATTTCACTCATATATTTCCTGTTTTCTCTATAATTAGCATGTATTGCTTTTGTGTTAAAAATTAATAAAGGAGGCCCTGACTATTGTGGCTGAGTTGTTTGAGCATCACCCTATGCACAGAAAAGTTGCCAGTTCAATTCCAGGTCAGGGCACATCCCCAGGTTGTGGGTTCGATCCCCAGTCGGGGTACATATGGAAGGCAACTAATCGATGTTTCTCTTTCCCTCTCCTTTTCTCTCTCTTTTTAAAATCAGTTTAAAAAATTAGTAAAGGAGGTAAAAGCTAATGTAAATATGAAATAATTATGGATACCTTTAAAATATAATAACTTTTTCATTGGTAGGCAGATGTCCATTGGTGGAAATCCCATTTTGACCTTGCAGTATTTAGAACCTGAGATGACTCTGGAACTAAATTATGTCTGTTTCCTGTCTTTTAGGAAAGCTATTTTTGATACACCAGATGAGGATCCAAATTACAATCCACTACCTGAAGAGCGGCCAGGAGGCTTCGCCTGGGGTGAGGGCCAGCGCCTTGGCGGGTAAAGCGGCAGTGCCAATAATGAGACCCAGCTGGGAAGGACTCGGTGACATACCCATTGGGATTCTTTTATCCTTTGTGTTGCAAAAGTGTGGACACTTTTGACAGCTTGACAGATTTTAACTCCAGAAGCACTTTATGAAATGGTACACTGATTAATCCAGAAGACATTTCCAGCAGCTTGCCAGTGGTTCCTCACTGCACTGGCACTGAAAGTGTAATCTCTGAGAGCCAAAAAACTGGAGAAACAATACCCTGCTGCCTCTAGCAAACAAGTACCTGAGTACTTGAGCTCTGGTGTAAGGCGGAGCTTTTTCTTCCTCCTCTTTGATAGACGAGGCCATGGTGTAAATGAAGTTTCAGAGAGGACAATAAAACTGAATTCCATCTCTCTCTCACTGAATTAAAGCTTTGTGTGTGATCTTTTAAATTATGATAATGTATTCCAGCCCTCCTGCATAGCTCTGAGCTTGGAGCAGTTTACATGCCCACTCTTCTTGTGTCTCCACAGCTTTCAACTGGATTTCATTTCAAGATTGGAAATATGCGGCTGATAATCTGTGGCTGTATATATACATCTTACTAATTCAGAATGCCAGCTCCAGTAGGAAGATTTGTTTCTGTTGTCCAGGCAGTTTGTTCTCATCGGGGTTTTACAAAACTTGAAGTTGTCCAGTGATCTGGGTAGGGTGGTTCCTATAGCAGCAGGAATTCAACTCCAGGATGGTTCAGCTATAGGCAGAAAGTTAACCTGGCATCTTACTTCCTCTGCTTGCGTTTCTCCATTAAGAAATCCAGGGAAAGACAGGTAATGGCCACCTTTTTGTAAAGCAACAGAAAGATCTTTAGACCTGGGAATCAAGTTACAATGTTGACTTTGGAGCCAGATGAACTGGTACCAGGTAGGCAGGAATACATTTCTCCTGGGCCTTTGGCTGGTTAGCATTTGTCATTTGCTTCATGAAAAGCTAAGAAGCTTTTCAGAGCCAAGTACCTGGTTTACCTTCCCAATCAGGTAGAAATTAGGTTCCACAAAAATAGGAACTTAAGGCCTGTGGTTCAATAAATACGTGTCCGAAATACTCACTTCCCGGGGTCTCAGCAGGTTTGCATCAAATGCCCAAGGAATTCAGAGTCCAAAGGACTAAAATGGCTACCCCGCAGAAAGCATTTCAAATAGTTTCTATAAACAGCATGCAGGCACAGGACCTTTTCCTAAGTAGCTGCAGGCTGGTTAGTGTGTGGTTTCCTTCAGAGATGAAGCTTTAGATTAAATATAAATGGAAATTTTCAGATGGTGGAGTGAATAGTATCTTACCGTCTTTAAATGGAATATGCGTAAGGAATGGAATTTAAATACTTTACATGCTGCTCGTCAGTAATTTTGAATGTGACTGTTGCAGTTTTATAGAATGTGGGTTAACAGGACTGTGTTTTTTGTAAGTGGTTTAAAAAGTCTTTAAATGCCAATCTGGGAATGCAGAATCCTTATGGGATTCTTAAATTGTCATGTCTTTGTTCAAGAAAGCTTGAGTGTAATTAGGAGGGTTTTTAAAGTGCTTATTTGGGGGCTGGAAATGGGTTTCTCTACTTTTATTTGCTCTCCCTTAGTTAACGTTGAGTTACTCAGTTCATGGAATTCTTGCGGTAAAATTTTAATCCTAAAATCTGTTCACTGGCTGTTCATTTAAGTAGGGGATGTCTGTACATAATAATGACTGGGGAAACAGGAAACCAGTTTTGAATCGGTGGCCTGCACACAGTCAGATACGCGGTTTTGAGTTCTCTGGTGGGGTGAGAATTCCTAGTGGCAGGATGCCACGCTGTGCCACTCCACTGTGCCCTGGGCAGTGGTCACGTCAATCACTGACCCCTTATCAGTTTGGCCAGTCCCACTTCCACCATCCCTAGCCGTGTTGCCTAATGGGTTACCTAGGCTTACCTGAACATAAGGAAAAGTGCTCACCTATTCTCCGACTTACCTCTGAGTCTCCATTCTTCCAGAACACCGTTCCTTTTCATAATGCAAGTCAACTGAAAAATGAGACTCAGTGTATGGACTTTTGTGACCAATTTACCTGACGTAATTTAAGGGACTCCTGGGTTCTACCAGTAATACAGAAAAGCACACCTGACTAAGGCGTAGTTGCGGTGGTGGTGTAGAAATACAATATGCATTCGTTTTTTTTAAAATGGATGTGCAAATTGCATCTCCCTAGGAGATAACAGTTTAAATACATTGTAGTGTGTGTGTGTCACTATGGATTTCTATTTGTTTCTCTCTTCCACTTGTTCTTTTTCTATGTTGCTCTTATATGACCTAATATCTTTCATACTTCTTGTGTAGTCTTTCTAAGCAGAGAGCACCCCAGTGTTGGATTTTGGTAATGAAACCTTCACTGTGCCTCTGGGTCTCTAGAAATTAGGAAATACTGGAGCTATTGGCATGTTGCATAGGGGCTTCCTAGAATTGTCATCTATCCCTGATAGCCTGCATTTTATGTTGCAGCTGTGTTTTCCTTTGACAGGTGAGTACCATCTGTGTTGTCACAATATGCCATTGTTCCCAGTGTCTTGTAGGATGTCCCCTAAGCTATTTGCGTACTATATGATTTTGCATTAAAGCTGGTGACCTTTTTATGACCAAGTCACTTCTCTGCTCAGAAATCCACGGTGACTTCTTAGCCCCCATACCAAATGCATACATTTTGTCTTCCTCTGAACCTTACTCCCACTTCTATCTAACAGGGACCTCAGTTTAAGTCTCTTTAGTCCTTCGAGGCCTGGCCCCTTTCCTGGCTCCTCAAGAAATCATGACTCTAAGGCCCATTTCATTGTCTTTCTTCTTTGAATCCCTGTAAAGCTTCAAGTCTGTATGACATACTCTTACACCAAATTATATATTGTCTTGTACTGTTTCTAGCTGGTACATGTATATTAGTTTTGCCTCCCTCATGAGAATGTAAGCTCCTTAAGGGCAGGGACCATGTCTTAATTTTTTGTATCCACCACAGTGCCTGGCACAGTGCTTGGCACATGGGTGCTGAATAAATACTTTGTTAAATGATCAGTAAACTATTATCTGTTATTATTAATTAAAGAGGTGTTAATGTATGTGCACTTAAGCTTATACCTGCTCGCTGAGGCTTATGATTATCTCAGAGCAGGATAGAGCAAAATGACTTGCTCAAGGACAGTGGTTTGGTGGTCAGACAAGCCAACAACAGTGACCACCAGATGGTATGCTCATGGTGAGAAGAAACCGTTAAGTCCATAGACCATCCCAGAGCAGTTAATGAAATGTGTTTAACAATTCACCTTTTGGAAGAAGTGCCCAAATAGTCTTTGAAAAGTTGTTAGCTTGTGATCACCTGCATATGAAAGCCACTTAGCCATGTGAGACTTTACTTTTGGAGGGATGTATGTTTCAGACTGCTAATATTGGCGGGGAGGAGAGGGAATGTGTGCAACACTGCTTGATGTCTATATAGGATTTTATTTTTTAACTCTTGAGGCTGCAGAATAGCTGGATTTTTAGGCCAGAGTTTATGGATGAGTTACCTACATATTGGTTTATTTTGTCTGTACCATTTAAAAATTTTTTGAGGCAACATTTAAAATGGACAGGTTTCTGCCCTGGCTGGTGTGGCTTGGCCAGTTGAGCATCTTCCCATGCACTGAAAGGTCGCCGGTTCCATTTCTGGTCAGGGTACGTGCCTGGGTTGCATGCTTGATCCCCAGTAGGGGGTATGCAGGAGGCAGACGATCTATGTTTCTCTCCCTCGCCTTTCCTCTCTCACTAAAATCAATAAAAACATTTTTTAAATAAAAACAAAATGGACATTTCACATGAAAAACATTCACTTTTTTACTTTTCTTGAAAAAAAATTGGAAGATTTGGCAATACCTGGCCTGCATGGCAGCTATTGGTAGTTGCTTCTAGAGACAGGGAATGTTCAATATCAAGAGATTATTTCACTCATTCATATTATCTACCTGGACTCATAATCATTTGGAGCATATGTGTCTTTCATTAGCTTATTCTGGAAAGCACACGGGGAAAAAGGACTGAGGTCTGTTTTTTACATACTCAAGGTCCATAATTTGAGTTAAACGTTTAATTATTGCTATGGTCTGATTATTTGTTCCCCACCACCACTACCCAACTCACATGTTGAAATACTAATGCCTGATGTGATGATGTTAGGAGGTGGAAGTCTTTGGGAGGTACTTAAATCATAAGGTAGATTCCTCATTAATTGGATTAGTCCCTTACAAAAAAGCCCCAGAAAGATCCCTACACCCTTCCTTTATGAGGACACAGCAAGAAAGCAGCAATGAGCCAGGAAGAGGGCCCTCACCCAAAGGCAACCATGCCAACACCTTGATCTTGGAGTTCCTAACCTCCAGAACTGAGCCATAATTTTCTGTTGTTTGTAAGCCACCTAGTCTGGTGTTTTGTTATAGCAGCTTGAACAGACCAAGACAGTTATTTCCCTTTTAGTTTTGGGTTGCCTTTCTAAACATGTACGGGTAAGAAGTGAAATTTTGTCCATTTATTCTTAAACACATATTTGCTATTAGTTCGAGAGGTACATTTTCACTGTACTGTCAGCAACTAGAGGAAAATTGCCTCAAACCTAGAGGAAAGGGGAAGGAAAATTTTTAACAGTTTCACAAATATGAGTTTCATGGAGATGAACTTCACAGAGGATTCCTAGTCCGTTATGTGGGTTGAAGCTTATGACGAATTCTTTGTAAACACTTCATGCATGCAGAGCAAACGGGCTGCTTGCCAGTCATTCTGTGGTGAACTAGAAAATCATCTAAGAGCTCTGAATTTAGGAGGGGATGAAGAAACTAGTTTTAACCTACTTTCCCTGCTGTTCTAAATCTTCATTGATTGATATTGGTTGGGGTTGGGAAGCACTGTAGAGAACTTCAGAGTGGCAGAAATAGTTGCGGGAAAAGACATTTTTAGTTCCGTTAAACTCCCTCTTTCACTGCTGTATTACAGGAACAGACCACTCCAATGGGATAGTCATTTTCTCAAGAGAATATATTATATAATGAATATATATAATCATTAGAGAATATATTATATAATGCTTTCCTCTTCTGCAGTGCAAGATAATCACGAGCATCCTTTCAGCATTCTGATTTTGTGACATCTGAGTGACTTTAATCTCGGAGGCTCAGTTTCCTTATCTGTAAATTGGATATAAAAGTTATCTACCAAATAATATAAATTGCGAGGATTAAATAATGCAAATGTTTGTGTGTTCCTACTTGATTTTACAAAATTAACCACTTTCCTTGAAGAGCGAGTGTTACTGTGGGCAGAAAAGGGGAAACGCATGTTCAATAGAAATATTACCAGTACAATAAAACTGCAAGATCGCTGTGTTATCCAAGGTTAAGGTCCCATGGAACCGTCCACCCCGCCTTTCGCTGTTGTCGCTCCGGACCTTTTTCCTGTCGTACCTGGGATGCTGCTCGCCCGCTTCCCGGAAGTGGAAGCCTTCCCAAGCTCCCAGTGCATGCTGGGAGTTGCAGTCCCTTTCCTAAAGGCTAGGGGAGGCGGCGAGGTCCTCGGCGGTCGCCCGCAGCCGCTAGCACGTGGCGGGAAGGGGCGGTGCGGGCTAGCTGCCTGCCCCGCGGGGCTGC